ATTGTATTTTAGAAGAAAATTGGCTTGGTTTCTTTGATGCTTAATGACAATCTGGGGTAAAAAGGATGAGATAGGAAAGGCATTTGGGTAAGTAAGTAAGTTGATGCTCAAATGGATGTACTTTGGTAAAAAAATGATCGAAATGTTTATTCTGGGTAAAAGTTGTAAAAAAGTTCTATATCAAAAAGTGGCGGTAATGATGATAATTTGGTTAAATGGAAAAAAAAAATGTATGATGACGGTATCGTAATTCTCTCGTAGAAATGATAAATATTTGCAAGGTCAAATTTTAAAGAATTTCAATTAAACCAGATCTGTAACAAGATTATTTTATTTTAGTCCTAAATTTAGAATTAAGAGTTTTAACGTCTATCATTAATTAAAAGTCAAATTAAAATTCAAAATTAGACCCCCTGTAATTTATAATTATTATTAATTTAACTATACTATCTAAAGTCATTCATTCATTTGCATTAGCTAAGCCTATACTAAAAAATTACATTATTCAAAAATTTTCATTCTTCCTTATCCATCCAATCATAAGTAAATTTCCCAGCTATGGGTAAAAAGTCAAAAAAAAAAAAAATTTTTTTTTTTTTTTTTATAATAAATTAAGTAATCAATAATATTAAACTTACTAATCGTTTACCCCACATTTTTCTCATTTCCCAATTTGTTTTAGTACAAAATTTGACAGCCCAAAGAATTTCGGAAAATTTTTTTTTTTAAAACCCAAAATCCACGTTTTTTAATTAATAGAACAATCAATACATGAGAATCATATTGTTCGTAATTTCAAACAAACAAATATTTGGATGTGAATTGGTTGGGCCGAAATTTATTTAAAAGAGGAGGAATATAAAATGTGATTACGTAAGTTGTATATATTTTTTTTGACGTTTTTTACGTTAAAATTTTAGTTAATGATTTAAAAATTGAAATTATCTCAAAACTTTACTAAATTTTACTTAAGTAGGAATTAATTTTAATAATTTACATATTTTTTTATCCTTTTCGTTCCCTTTCTTCACTTTGATCTTTTAAATATTATCATCTTATTCATCCTTTATTACAATTAAAAAAATATAATCATATTATTTTACATAAATTTATTTTCATCACACAAAATTTACAAACATTTCAAAAAAAAATCTCATAAATTACAATCGAATAAATTATAATTATTATATTATACATAAGTAATTAATCGTACATTACCAAACATTAAAAATGTTTATTATTTTTCCGAAATTTTCTACAAATTACTTGCTTTTATTATTGTCTTTTATTAATTCAATTTACAGTATTATTATTATTATTCAAAGAAAATTTTAAACAAACAATAAATCTTTATACATTGTATTTAATGCGTGAAACGCATTGACCTTTTACTTACAAAATCCTTTGTATACATACTATGTTTATCATTAGAACAATTCGGATTTTCTAGCTTATTGTTCATAAAGATAAATGATAAACCTGTTTTATTGGAATATTGAACTACGCCATTATTTTTACTCAACTCTGGCCAAATTTATATTATACCCTTAACCGATCCTGTTTTATTGGAATATTGAACTACGCCATTATTTTTACTTAATTCTGGCCAAATTTATATTATACCCTTAACCGATAAATAACTCTCTGTCCTCGATATACCCAAATTGATATAGCATTTTTTTCGATTTTTTCATATGGATCCAAATATACAGTATCGTTATATCAGAGTTTGGCTATCATCGAAAAAAATACCTGTATGTATTCAATTAAATTGAATGTTATCTTTCAATATTTTAATCACAATCGTTATAAATAAAATGGTATTATTTTTTCCTTTCAATTTTTTATATTAAAATGTTCATTTCATCGCCATGTCCTTAAAAATTATGTGACAATACATTTCAATAAGCTTTATCCTTTACAAATTCCCAACTTGACTACTTTGAGTTGAATCGGTATTATTGCTTACTCTGATACGATTATAATACGAGATACGATTATAATACGAATTACCATATTCCTCCTAAAATAAGCGCTCCCCGAAAATATGTGCCTATAGCCAGATTTATGTTGATTTTGACCGGCATTATGATTCCTTTGACCAGCATTATATTCAAAAAATGGTACTTATATTTTTGGAAGAAACTGGTACTACTTTTTGCAATAGCTAAATCTACACATAGTATTATACAAAAAGGACTTTTTTACTTTTTTTATAAATACACAAAATCCTGAAAAACTTGAGTAATAATTAAAGGATCAAATATTTTAAATTATTAAGGAATTTATAAATATAACCTATATACTACTTATATATATATATATATGTATTATATTATTCATTTATACATCTAAATAGAATTATACTTATACTAATTTTGATATACTGATATTTTATAGGCATAAATATTATTATATTATTGATACATTACATTATTTAATTTAAATTATATAGATCCCAAACATCTTTTATTTATATTAAATAAAAAATTACTTCATATTGTATTTCAGTAAATATTAAAGTTAAAAAATAAAATTATTATTATTAGATTTCAACAAATTCAATATATAAATTTTATTGAATTTGAATTATTAATTAACTAAAAATCAGAGATATGTAGTTTAAAATTTTTGAAAAGTACTTCTAAAAATAAGCTAATTAATAAGCAAATTTTAAGTATAACCTATATATAAATTGGTTGAAATTCTAATTATATTATATTAATAATTTATTTAAATTTATTTATAAAAGATTTTTAATATTTATAAAATAATGTAATTATTAGATATAGTAGTAATTAAAATTTAGTAATATTTTAATTTTACTATTATTAATAATTCATCTTATTAAAATGAATCTAATGATATCAAAATTATTAAAATCTGAATTATTAGATAAATTTTAAAATTAAAAATCATTAAATAATTTTTTAAGAATATTCCATTAATATCAATCATAAAAATATAATCTTATTACTACTTAATTTACTTTAATGAAATTTGAATAATATTAAAATTATTGAAATCTAATCACTAAATAAATCTTTAAATTAAAAATTATATAATTTTTAAAGAATTACTTCTATTTTTAAATTTTATTTAATTAGTAATTTTTTAATGAAATTCCAATTTTAATAAACTTTTTTTTAATTTATAGCATTCATTTAGCTAGCTTTACAAAACAAAAAAAATTGAATCACTAGAAGCCAAAATAATTATATAATACTAATTATTATATATAATATTTAATATTTTAATAGTAATAATTTTTTTAGCCAATAAGATTTCAATCAGGTGGGGGTGGAAGGTTAAGGCTAAGGTTGCCTGCCTAAACCTTTCCAAAATCCTACGATTAGTTTCTTTAAGATTTTACTATAGTTTTATTATAGTTTCGGCAAGGTTTTGGCAGTTTTGGCCTTTATAATAAGTTTTGTCAGATTTCGCTTTTCTCTAAAGTTTCGCCAACTTTTTAATAAGACTTTCATATAGTTTTAGCAAAGTTTCGCTATTTTGGCATTTCACCAACTTGCCAAAACCCCTTAGTTTCTCCAGCAACCTTAATTAAGACTACTAATCACTGGTTAAAATAAAAACTTTCGGTCATGTGACAAATCAGCTGATCTGTCACACATTTCGGCCAAATTTCAGAAATTATTAAAAATTGGCCAAATTTCGATATATATGATTTATGGTTGATTTATTGAATTATTTAATCAAATGTTACGTGTTATACATTACGCGTATTAAAGTTTAAAAAAGGATCATCTTATACATCCTTTTTTAAACTTTTTTTAATTTTTTTCTTCCCTTTCCTTTCCTTTGTTTCCCTTCCCTGTTTCCCCTTCTTCCCCTTTCCCTTCCTTCGTTCTCCTTTCCCTTTCTTCTCTTTTTCTTTCTTTTCCTTTCCCCTTTTACTTTTCTTACTTTTTTTTATAGGTTCTGCTTTCAGGTGGGCTTCTGAAGTACAGAAACTCCAAAGATTCGTAAGTACGAATTCTTTGGAGTTTATTTTATTTTTTTTTAATACGAACGGTTACTAACCGTTTTTTTTTTTTCTTTTTTTTATAGGTTTGGCTTTCGGGTGGACTTCCAAAGTACAGAAACTCTAAAGATTCGTAAGTACGAATACTTTGGAGTTTATTTTATATGAACGGTTACTAACCGTTCTTTTTTCTTTCTTTTTTTTAGGTTTGGCTATTCAGATAACTTCCGAAGAACAAAAAAAACTAAGATTCGTAATTATATACGAATCTTGATTTTAATTTTTTTTGTTTTTTTAATTTTATTAATAAACAGTTACTAATAACCGTTTCTTTCTTTATTTTTTAGGTTCAGGTAGGCTTTCGAAGAACAAAAACCCAAAGATAAAGATTCATAAGTACAAATCTTTACTTTTTTTCTTTTTTTTTAATTTTATTAATGAACGGTTACAGTCAACTCTCTTTATAGTCACACATTTGGGACAGTCCATATTTGGTAATTATAAAAAGATGTGACTATATAAAAAATTTCTTATATTTGTATATCATAATTCCGGCCAAAAATTAACATAATTTTAGCCAGAATTATACTTAAAACTTTATTGTATCGTAACTTCGCCAATATTAATCGTAGAGAGATGATCTTACCGCCATTCGATTCGTCTTGATGAGACGGTTCTAATGGTATAAAATACGTCGAAATCCAATTACTAGATTAATTTCCGAAATTAAAAAAATATTAATGGTTTTTGTGTAATAACTCTTCCAATATTGATCCTAAAAAAGAAGATCTTACTACCATTCGATTCGTCTTGATAAGACGAATCTAATGGTATAAGATACATCAAAATCCAATCGCTAGATCAATTTCCGAAATTAAAAAATATTAAATGGTTTTTAAGTAATAGCTCCGTCAATATTGATCACAGAGAGATGAGCCTACCACCATTCGATTCGTCTCGATGAGACGATTCCAACGAGCTATAAATCGTCTTTTTACAATCACTAGGTACCAAGAAATCTAGCAAAATGTTAAATAGAGCAGTAAACGTAAATCAAGAAATATTATAATGCCGATGTTTAACATTTTGTTGAATAACTCGTCAGCCAGTGATCGGAAAAGGATAAAACTGGCATGATCTACAACCTGCTCTGCCACTCCGATCTATTTTACCTCATTCCATTTTTCAATCGAGTTGGAAACTTTGGAAAAACCTGAATATATTTGTGCTTGCTCAGTTGGTTTCTCCTTGTGGACGTTATCTTATGAATTGGCCTGACCTTCATTATCTTAGAATCGTTGGTCGTAAAGGACGGATCCCTAATTGGTTTACTTTTATCAATAATAATTTTCTCTCTTCTTCTTCTTCTACTTTACTTTTATCTTCATATTTTATTAATTCTTCTTTTACTTTAGCTTCTCTTTGTTTATTAGATCATACTGTTAAAGATTATTCTTTTTATCCTCAATGGGCTATTACTCTTGACTCTGCTACTCAAACTTTATCTGTTGGTCGTGTGTATATCACTTATAAGAAACAAAACTCGGCTATTATGTCTCATTGGCTTCCTGTATCTACCTAGGCTGATGAACGATCCTATGACCCTTGTCCCGGTTGTGCTCTTAACATTCCCGCCTTATCCATGAAATCTGCCATCAGACAACGCTGTAATAGCGA